GAGTGCGCAGCCCTGCCCCCCCGGAGCACTGCTTTACTACGTTATAGCCGAATTCATGTTATATCGGGTCGCATTATATTGGGGTAGAAGTGTACCAACAAGAGAATCAGCATAGGAAAGTTACTGGATCAAATTGTGATCTCATTTACACCAGTATAAATCTTGACTAACTCTACCAAAGTCAGTGATGTTACTCTGGATTTACACTGGTGTAAACGAGATCAGAATCCAGACCTTTCTTGCCCTTACAGCCAGGCTATTAAAAAAGAAAAAAAGCCAAGAAAGCTAAATAGAAAACTGTAAACATACAAGGTGCAGCTCACTTTTGATGTCTGATCCTGAGTCCCTGGAAAATATTTAGATTTCTTTTCCTTCCTTTGTGAGACTCTAATTTTACTATTGGTTAGTTAGGTAAATGTTAATTCCAACCTTGGATCATTGTCTTTTTTATTTACATACTAAATTAAGCTTAATCGTTCAATTGTTTCACCTGAGATACACCTATGTAATCATTCTTTATATTACAGCTTCTAGAGTTTAATAATTCCAGTATCTCGGATCATTCGTTTACTTTTCTTAGAGTCAGTTTGTTGATAGTACTTAATAAGGGTCTGATCCTGCAAACACTTACACATATAATTATGCACACTTATAGTCACAGTGAGTTCAACAGAGCTGCTCATAAGCATTAAATCATTCACCTGCATAAATGTTTGGTGGATCTGGATGGTGTGTTCCTCCACAAACTGAAGATGGGCCTTTTGAAGTAGTTTTGAACAACCGGGCAGGTAACGAGGGGCTAATAGGGCTAAGCCTTATCAATTAATAAATCCCCTCCCTTTTTCTTTAAACAAATAAAAGCTTTGTTTCCCTCTTCTTTTTCTTTTCCCCTTCTTCCAGCAAAACAAAGGAGGACAGGTGACTGGATGGATGGAAGGAGAGGCTGGCAGCTTCCAACGCCTTCCATTCAGCAGCACCACAGAGTGCTATTAGCAGAGGGAGAGTTGGTGAGCCTACTGGCTTCTAGACCCTAATAGAGTTCATCTTTCTATTAAACATATATAGAGCAGTACTGAGATCAAATTATGGTCACAGGCTGCCTTTCTAGTCTTATTTGGGATAAATTCAGAGAAGCCCCAGAGTTCATAGAATGACTCATCAGGTACAGCCCTAGTGCATAGCTCCACTCCCAACTCAGGAAGCTTGAGTGGGTCCTAGTGGGAGGAAATTGAGGCAGAATGAATTGCTGGCCAACTTGTTATTTCAAGGAGGTAGCAGGTAGGAGCCTATGACCTGGAAAAGGTGGATGCAAGGGGAAACAGGCAGGCTTTTGACCCAGCTACTGGGAGACAGAAGTTTGGAGTAGGGCAGCTGGCTGTTTTTCAAACAGGAATGGAGGCAAGGAGCTGAGCAGAAATTGGCTACTAGATCATCTTCAGGAGGAATAGAGGAGCTGTGGTGGGAGTTACTGCAGAGGAGCTGTTAGGGAGCAGGGAAGAACACCACAATTATTATTTGGTTTTATTTGGGATAACTGATTTGTGTGGAAGGTATGGAGGTTCACAAATGTCCCACTCTACAATATATTTTGGGCACTATTTGTCATTGGCTATGAATGTATACTAGCATTTTGTTTATGCTGAGACCTTTATATAATCTTTAATCTGTTTGGTTTGTGTTATTGCAACTCTTGCTTTAAATATTGTAATTCACTCTAGACAGTGCCATATGGCATGTACACTTGAATGTAACATTGCCTAAGTTACTAAATCATTTAAAAACAAAAATAGAAAAATCATGGCACTTCAGATAAACCATCAAAATTTATATAATTTTGTACAGGCATTATAATACCTCAAGTCAACCAGGGCCTGATTAAATATATCATAAAATACTCAAGGAGTTGACTGAGGAGCTATCAGATCCATTAGCGATTATCTTCGGAAAGTCATGAAAGATGGGAGATTCCAAAGGACTGGAAAAGGGAAAATATAGTGCCAATTTATAAAAAGGGGAATAAGGCCAATAGGAGAATTACAGACCAGTCAGTTTAACATCAGTACCCGGGAAGACAATGAAGCAAATAATTAAGGAACCAATTTGCAAACACCTAGACAATAATAAGGTGATAAGTAACAGCATGGATTTGTCAAGAACAAATCATGTCAAACCAACCCAATAGCTTTCTTTAACAGGGTATGGGGGGAAGCAGTAGATGTGGTATACCTTGACTTGGCTTTTGATATTGTCTCACATGACCTTCTTTTAAAAATACTATGGAAATACACCCTAGATGGAGCTACTATAAGGTGGGTGCATAACTGGTTGGCAAACTGTTCCCAGAGAGCAGTTATCAGTGGTTCACAGTCAAGTTGGAAGGGCATATCAAGTGGGGTCTAACAGGGATCAGTTCTGGGTCTGGTTCTGTTCAATATCTTCATCAATGATTTAGATAATGTTATAGAGAGTACACTTATAAAGTCTGCAGACGATACCAAGCTGGGAGGGTTTGCAAATGCTTTGGAGGATAGGATTAAAATTCAAAATGATCTGGACAAACTGGAGAAATGGTCGGAAGTAAATACGATGAAATTCAACAAGGACAAATGCAAAGTACTCCACTGAGGAAGGAACAATCAGTTGCACACATACAAAATGGGAAATGACTGTTTAGGAAGGGGTACTGCGGAAAGGGATCTGGGGGTCATAGTGGATCACAAGCTAAATATGAGTCAACAGTGTAACGCTGTTGCAAAAAAAAAATCATTCTGGGATGTATTAGCTGGAGTATTGTAAGCAAGACATGAGAAGTAATTCTTCCACTCTACTCTGTGCTGATTAGGCCTCAGCTGGAGTATTGTGTCCAGTTCTGGGTGCCACATTTCAGGAAAGATGTGGGCAAATTGGAGCAAGATTGAAAAAAATGGGTTTGTTTAATCTGGAGAAGAGAAGACTGAGAGGGGACATGATAACAGTTTTCAAGTACATAAAATGTTGTTACAAAGAGGAGAGAGAAAAATTGTTCTTCCTAACCTCTGAGTATAGGACAAGAAGCAAAGAGCTTAAATTGCAGCAAGGGCGGTTTAGGTTGGACATTAGGAAAAACTTCCTAATTGTCAGAGTGGTTAAGCACTGGAATAAATTGCCTAGGGAGGTTGTGGAATCTCCATCATTGGGGATTTTTAAGAGCAGGTTGGACAAACACCTGTCAGGGATTATCTAGATAATACTTAGTCTTGCCTTGATTGCAGGGGACTGGACTAGAAGTCCTCTTGAGATCCCTTCCAATCCTACAATTCTATGAACACTGAAAATGCACAATCAAATCTCTCATTTCCATTCACTGAAATATATGTGAGAAGATTAGATCTTGCTTTATTTGGGTCCCTAAATGTCTTTTAGAAGCATTCAAAAAGCCAGTGAATAACAAACCCAAATACTTCTTCATTCGGGATCTATCTTCCTGCAGAGTCCAAGTGCACAGTTCTAATCCAAAACCTGAAAGTGGTTATTTAAACACCAGGAGTGAAATCCTGGCCCAACTAAAGACAATGGGAGTCTTGTCATTGACTTCAATGGGATCAGGATTTCACCCACACTTTCTTTCAGGATAATAAACACTACGACCACATGCTACAGGGATAAGCACCATATAAAGTTCTTCAATAGGTAAACAGCTATGTTGCTTTTTAAATATCTGTTGATATGTAGAGTTGCTATTTCTCCCCTACTTAAATTAATTTCATGCTTGTAAAAGATTCAAAGATTGATAGACCTGCAGATTACTATGTATTCCTAGAGCAGGGTCAGCATGGGCAACAGAACTGCAATCGTCCTCACGGCTGCTCCAACATGAGCCTTGCTTCTAGTTTTATTTCCAGACCTACTCAGTCTCTGGTCTTATTTGGGGGGCTACAAACAGTTGCCAACAGAGGTGACAGTTCAAAACGTAGTGGTGACTGTGATTTTGTAATGTAGATATGTTCTCTAGAAAGTGGGCTGTGACAACCAGTTCATTTCCCTGTTCCTATAAGATAAAACCTTTTGGTTATTACTGATCTAGACTGGATTCAAACAAACAGCCTAGAAGACTCCATATCCCATTTCCCTAAACCATGCAATCTCTTTTTTTATTACTTTCTGTGTTGAGTTTTACAGAGCCTTAGTGGAGAAGAGCTCGGCTCTGATTGTGTTGGGCTCCCACAGATGCATCCCTTAATACTTTTTACGTACATTTTTTTTCTACAAATATAGTCCTAACTCCAGGAATCCCTTCCTTTGCAATTGCTAATCCCTACTGAGTCTCCCCTGTGGAGAGTTGCCCTGTACAGGAACATTTCCCCAGCATTCCTGGTGTGGGATGGGGACAGGTATCCCTTTAAATTTGGCAAAGTCCAGCAGCTTTAGCTCTAAAGTGGCTATTTTGTAGCTGGCTGTTATTGCATCTACCACTTTTCAGTGGGTAAGTATTCAAAATTCCTGTTGTGTTGTTTTGCTTCTCTTCTGCTGAGAAAATCATATATTCTCACATATCTAAATGTTTCCATTATTGTTTCTGGAAAGAAATTTTAAAAAATGGATTTGCTTGAAATGTTCCATGAAACTTTTTGCTTTTTCACCAACAAAGTCATTTACTTTTATTGGGGAGGGGGAACCTCTCACTCACTCTTACATTTTTTTACTTATCCACCCTTTTTCCAAAAGAAAAAAGTTAAAAAAGTGATTTTTTTCTTACTGAAATAGAATTAAACTTTTTGAAAACTTTTAAAGATGTTGTTGTGAAGTGAGTTTTTGACAAATTTCAGCCAAATTATTATTATTATTTGTAAAAATGTTCATTGCGATTGAAGAGGCATTTTCCATTGAAAAAGATCTTGCTGGGAAGTTTTTGACCAGCTCTAGTTAGTTTTTTTGTTAGAAATGTAAATGTTATATTTAACTATCAAAATTGATTGCATATGAGTGGCAGGTTGTAATCAGGTAATGAATTGTATACAATATGTGATCATGATTATTATTATTTATTTGTATTTTTGTAGTGCCTCTGAGCCCTAGCTATTGACTAGGATTCCACTGGGCTAGAGGCTATACAACAGAAAACAAAAAAGACAATCCCTGCCCCAAAGAACTTACAATCTAAGTTTAAGACAAGAGACAACAACTGGCTACAGACCACAGGTGGGGAAGAACAAGGAAACAATGAGGCAATAGTGCTCAGCATGATAGGCTGTTTTTTGAATTGTTTGCTTGCTTTTTTTCTGAGAAAATAGGACACCTCTGGCATTGTGTGAGCCAAGGGAGAATAACCTTGTAAATCCAGAGCTATTGACAGTGATGGATTTTTTTTAGGGTGTTCTTCCAACAAATAATATGTACAACATGCTTATTTAACTATTTTCACTTCTTTTCAAGGATGGGATTTTTTTTTGTGTAAATGTAATCTGACATGAGTTGCACATAGCAGTCTGCACAGAACAATGCATGTTTACTGTCACTTTTTTAAATTACATGAAAATCTGAATTATATTCCATGTAATCAATGGCAGATTTGAAGCCTAAGAGGCTAGTTTACCTAGTTTTGAAGAGAAAAGCAGTGCCAATATAGGAGATGGATTCCAGTAGCCCATAGCAAAGAATTTCCCGATAAAGGAATACAGATTAAAAATAACACTATGACGGTCTGATTGGGAACAACCTCAGAACTGAATGGGCAGAAGCTTTTGAAAAGAGGAGAGCAACATTCCTCTTGTCTATTTAATCCAAACAGAAACTTCAAAGAGACAATAAAAAGAGGGTACAGCACTCATCATGTTTTTCTTTTTGGGGATCCAGACTACAGTGTTGCTTTGAGGAACAGCTGTATTTTCATTCCAAAAGCGATGATGTGATAAAGGAGCATAAATGGCAATTCAAAAAATATACATTCAGAACAGATGTTGAGGATGGTGGGTTTTTTCCCCTTTCATACCATATGTATCAAATATGCTATCATGTCAGGTTACAGGGACAAGGCAAGATAATCAGACAGCTTCATAGGTGAGAAGGAAAAGCCTGAGTGGAGATGAATCCTGCGTGGAATGGCTTTTGAATTTTTACCTTATGGCTAGCCTGCCTTTGAACCTTCCTCGGAGATGGAATTTTGTATTAATTGGATTAGGTTAAGTGCTTTGGTTTAAGTTATTAGAAACAGTGAAATTAAAACATTTTAAAGTGTCTAGGATAAAGCTTTCACAAGCAGCAAGGAGCCTATGTCATACTGACAGTCTTTTGGCTGCTTTCAAAAATTTTAGCCCTCTCACTGATTAATTTTAATATAACACATAAAACAAAAATGTTTTTAACATCTTATGAATGAATGTGTTACAATGTTTTTCTGCGATTCATTCCGTGTACTGTAGACACATTCTGAATGTCGAAGAGCAAAGAGAATATTTACAAACAGGCATCCAAATTGAAACATGACTTTTTGTAGAAGGAATCATTTTGTTTCTCCTTTACAAATAGGGCCCATACTCTGTATAATTTATTAAATTTAAAATACTAAAGTATGATTAATCCAAGAGATTTAGAGAAAACTTTGTGTCGTGCTTTTGTTTCATTATTACAATGTAATTTCAATATTTTGCATTAAGATTAGGTGTTTTTCACTCTCTAAAGATTTATGCCAAAATTTTCAATAGATTGCATAGGGCAAGTGGCTATTGCCTAATTGGGACTTGGATTTTCAGAACAGCTTGCTAGTCAGGCCCAAATGCCCTGATTAATACAAGAGGGTAGTATCAGGACACGGTTAAGGAACCATCTGCTCAATCTAGATTTTCAAAAGCCACAGGCTTGACTAAGTCAGCAGGTTCCATTTTTACCATTCAGTAGTCTAGCCACTCATTTGTTCTGCAAACCTGGGATCATAAGTCCATTCTGATTAAACAACCAAACACGCAGGAGAGAATGAGTGAGAGTGAATCTGTTAGAGAGCAAGCCAGCAAGATAGCAACCAAGCAACAGTTGCTATAAGGGCCTTGGGGAGAAGGGTTGGGACAGAGGAAATAGGAGACTAGCAGGGAGAGTGGGGAGATAAGGGAGATGGTATATCGTGAGAAAATAAGGGAACACAACATCTGACCATGCTAGGATGGTATATCTTGAGAAGGAGGAGGAGAGCCAAGTTTGCTCCAGATATGCCATGTAACCCTCTGAGCCCAGCAAAACTTAGTATTACCTGACTGAAATGCAGGCTCATCCACAAACCATTATACACCTTTGTGATTAGTGAGGATGACATACAGAATTTTTATCATCAAGATCATCACAACCTTGGGCATACTAGCCACCGGGTCCTCACAGAGGATACCATTGGCATCAAACCAGCTTCTTAGAAGCTCAATGACACGATGAAGCCAGTGACTGAAACACTGACTGAAACAAATGACTGGTGATTATGAAGGAGATGAGTTTGCCTGCTGTCCAGAATAAATGGCTCTTATGGCATACTGGCAATGGTACATGCAGAAGAGTCAGATTGCTCACCATCTCCTGCGAAAGGCAGGGCACTAGGGTCTAAGGTGCCCTTTACATGAGTAAGGATTCAAGGCACTAGCAGGGGAGCCAATGGTAGGATCAAGGTCAGGCAACAGTGGTGTTGATGTGAAGACATTTTCTGTTTCCTTTTCAGGGTTATGCCAAAAAATATGGCTTCTGGGTCTCCAATTAACTGTGGTAGTGGAAGTGGTGTTGGAGAGGAAGGGGGAAATCATTTCACCTGTCCATATACTTGTTTGTTCTAAAACTGTGTGCTGGGGAAAGGGGAGGAGGGGGGTGAAATGAGTTCTCATCAGCTGTCATTTATGAATTGCCTATATAGGGAAAGCAAGAAAGAAAAATTGAGAGACCTATTTATTTTTCCAACTTATAGAGCGCACCTATTGCCATGTATTTCCAGACACAAATAACAGATATTTACAAATATACAATAATAAATCCAAACTGACAAACTCACCAATACTTGTAAAGGAACTCTGTGAGGTTTCAGATGTATCAAACAGATTATAACGTACAAATACAATTAATTAACTTTATCAGCAAAATAGCTAATTAGTAAGTGTTAAGCTAAAGCTAGCTATACAATCATTTCCCAGAGTATTAGCACACTTCATTTTACTCAGTTGTATTAGCACCTTGGCACCGAGTCGTTCAAGGGCTCCCAAATATTGTTACATCACGACTCCTGGTGTCAAAGACTTAGTATAGTAATATGTAAAAGACTATTTCCTCAGAAGTTCTTCATGTGAACATTCAGTATACAGACAAAACAGTACTTGTTCAAGTTTCTAAAGGTTAGCCACTATTTTATCTATACTGTAAAAAATCCTTCAATATTGTTGGCAACTGAAGTTGGGGGATAAGATGCAGTCTTGCTCTTCCTATGCAATTTCGGATACATAGTCGGCAGAGTTGGCAAAGAGAGCACGGAGTAGCTACAAACAGATAAGAGATTTAATTAAGTAAATGTTCAGTATCCTTAGGAGTTTACAACATGGGGTATATTTAATATTATTATGGAGTACCTAATAAACATGCATTTTTAAAAATTCTATATATCAGTCTTATTGACCTTACACAGTATAGTTTCTTAAAGATATATAACAATAAAAATTATGCTACTCAAACTTTATTAATGATCAAAGAAACAGAAGGAGCAAGGAAACTTGTATTTAAACTAAATATCCAGAAGACTACATAGTAATTAACTCATGCTGTTGTGTTTATATAGCTAATACTTTTTAATTTAAAAAAATTGTTTTTGTGAAAGATCCTCTGCTGACAACTCCAGAGATTGAAGTTCTTTTTATTTATAGTATAGGTACAATATATGCTACACAAATGCAAGTTTCACCATCAATATATTTCAGCCCTTCCCTGTAGGGACCACTTTTAGGAGTTAAAGGGAAGTTCACCTTTCATGCCTATTCAGTTTTGGCCTCTTTGCTTCCAAAAATGCTGCTGGCTGTGATTAGTGTGTGTAAATTACATCTGATTACTAAGAACTAGACCTACAGCTTTCAGATGGTGATACTGGAGTTGAATTAGTGCCAGGGACACAAAGCTTACTCAATGGTCACCATTCAAAATGCATCAGTTTTCCCTTATAGAGCTAGCTACTCCTTTAGGGCACTGTGTTACGAAGAAAAGGTTGGTGAGTTGATTTGATCACAGTCTAAGAATCTGCCTGCGGAACTTATAGTTGGTAATGTGCTCTTCAGTCCAGCAGAGAAAGACATCACAAGATCCAATGGCTGGAAGTTGAAGCTAAACAAATCCAAACTGGAAGAAAGGCTTTTTTGTTTTTTTTATAGTGAGAGTAATTAACCAATGGAACAATTTACCAAGGGTCACAGTGGATTCTCCATCACTAATAATTTTTAAATCAAAATTAGATTTTTTTAAAATAAGATATGCTCCAGTTCAAAAGAATTATTTTGGGGAAGTTCTATTGTCTGTCAGACTAGATCAAGGATCGGCAACCTTTGGCATACGGCCTGTTAGGGAACTCCGCTGGCGGGCCAGGCCGGTTTGTTTACCTGCGGATGCTGCAGATAAACAAACTGTCCCGGCCCGCCAGCAGAGTTCCCTGACAGGTTGCGTGCCAAAGGTTGCCAATCCCTGGACTAGATGATCAGTGGTTCCTTCTGGACTTGGAATCTATGAACCTATGACAAAGCATAGGGAGAGCAACCCTATGTGCAAGACTAGGAATTCCACCTGGCCCTCACACAGGCTATGCAGGGAAGAAAGTTGAGGCTACTTGTACCCTCTTTTCCACTGTTCTCCACATATAAAGCTTGACAGAATCTGGCCCTGAGACATTATTATTATGACGTGTCACAGCTGGAGGTTCATGTTAGATTATCACTGATGTTTTCCCTCAGTTTTGTGGTTCCAAAGCAGACCTTTAACATTTATTTAATGTAGTATTTTTGGCAATGTTTTACTTGTATTTATTTAAGCTGTTAAAGTTAAGGTTGTATATATCAACTCTTTTTTCTCAGATGGTTAAATTCAACTATAAACATTTATTCCACAAAGAAAGTTAGAGTACAAGACTTTAATCTAAAATAATATTCCACGCAGGACAGTTTTAAAGAAAAAAAATATAGGGCCTGATTTCCCCAAAGTCTCTCTCAGATGCATAGTCTTTAAGAGTAATACATTTGGTGGTTTTAAAACTACATAACAATTTATTAAAGTAATATTTTTGTGCCCGTATGACTCAAAAATAAGTCTGCTCTAAAAATATATATATATCTAACTCAGTACTGCTTACTCAGTAATAGAGTTGTTCCTCTTCCCATTCTCTAAACAATTAAATGCAACTACTTAAGAATAAATTTCTAACCCATACGCTGGAAGACACCTGTACAATGCATCTTTTTTTTTTAAACTGGGTTTTTATCTAAAAGAATACATAGCACTAAACTGTACTTTCAATCTCTTGGACAAATGACATTTAAAATTATTCTTTAGGAAATTATATTTTAAAAATCAATTAATAAAAATGGATAAGCAAATAGAAGAATTTGATGAAATAATGTTCTATTTATGACACAAATCAATAAATGCTAGGACACCAAACAGCACATTTTCAAGACAGGAGGCCCAAAGCTTGTGCACAAATGCACGCAGAATATGCTTGAACTTGTTCGGGCGATGTGATTGCACACAAATAGCTAGGGAACTTAAATAACCATTTATAAGTGCAATCATATGAATTGCACACACAAATTTAGGCATGTAAATCCATGTAAAACCCAGGCCTCCGGCTTTGTAAATATGCCCTAAAAATTAAGTCTGGGCACACATCTTTCCATTTCCATGAACTATTTTTTAAAAATGAAATAAAAAAAATCCAAGTTTTTTTTTAAATAAACTGCATGTTAGCCATAAGTTGAAGCTGTTTGTTTTTGTTGGTTTGTACCATCATCTGTTAAACCGAGGAGGCCACATCTTCAGCTGATATAAATTCAATAGTGCTCTGTCAACTTATGTCACCACCTGAAAAACTGGCCTATTTAAAAATATTTTCAATACTTTACATAGCTGGAGGTAGAATTTTTAACTGAGTGTAAACAATCATTTTATAAACCCTTTATCATACAACTTTTACTGATTCAAGTTTGTCCAAGAACAAAACTATGTATAGAACGATGAACAAACGTATATTTGTCCCACTTACCTTCATGCAGAAGCAACATTCTCTCCACCAAACTGCTTGGGGCAGCTAAATCTACAGGCCGTTCAAAATCTGTATTCTTGGCATTAATGTCTGCCCCAAATTCAAGAAGTAAATTTACTATCTCTGTACTGGGTTGCTGAGCTGCTGCATGTAGTGGCGTGTCCAAATACTTTCCTTTCTGTACATTAGCTCCTATATAAATATATTGGAGAGACAGAGACAAATAGATGAATTAATGTTGTCAGTGCTAAAAGTTAATGCTTTAAAATCTGGAACAAGATTTTTAAAAATGAGTGTCTGAAGTTACATTCCTAAATGTATAAAGAGATATCTAAATAAATGGTCAGAATTTCAAAAGTTCTAAGCACTCAGTGGTCAACGTGAGCTGCTGGGTTGGGTCCAGGCCGGGTCACACAGCCCCTTGTGTTTAACTAGTTTAAAAAATATTCTATGGGTTTTAGAACCAAATTCCTTTTAACTCTCCTCTTCCCTTTCTAGCTCAGCCTCTCTTCTTTGTAAGCAGACATACTGGTATGGAGAAGGGGCCTTTTAAGGATAAAAAGAGAAGCAGACAAACTGCTGAAAAACATTGCGGAAAGGACAATGGCAGCTTATGGCTCTATACCCACTTTAAACTTTCACTTCCATAGAATCAGAGAAATGTAGAGCCCAAAGGGACATTGAGAGATCATCTAGTCCTGCTCCCTACCCTATTCTGAGGCAGGACCAAGTATACATAGAGCACCCCGATAGGTGTTTGTCTAACCTGTTCTTAAAAACCTCCAGTGATGGGGATTACTTTTATCCAAGCTCATTTGTGAGCTATTTAACTTTACTACCTTCATTTTTACTATAGAGAGAAAAGAAGGAAGTGGCCAGTGGTGCTGAAAATGCTTGATATCAGACCACTCAGAGTTGATGTTTTCTTTCTTCCACCCCACATACTGTAAATCAACAACCAAAAGGTTTCCCCTAACAAAAAATATGTCTTAGCATAAAGTTAAAATTAGAGTCCTGCAACAAGAAGCTGTGATAAATGAAGGGGGAGGGGAGGGAATAGTTTCCTTTTATGGACACCCAGCAGCCAGTTAGCTATAAAATCCCTCTTAATAGCTGTTCTCTCTACCTACTTTACCTGTAAATGGCTAAAAAGTCTCACTGCTATGCATAGGTAAAAGGAAGTGAGTGGGCACCTGGCCAAAAGAGCCAATGGAAAGGCTAGAACTTTTTAAAATTGAGAGAAAACTTCCCCTTTGTCTGTCTGTGGTTCTTCTCGGGGAGAGGCAGACAGGGAGCAGTTATGCTGTGAAAAGCTTGGGCCAGGTATAAAAATTTATCAGTATCATACCTAGAAACTATTCATCTAAAACTCCAGATATGTAAGTAGATCAGAAAATGTCTAGGAAGACACGATTAGGTTTATCCCTTTTATTTCTTTATGGCTTGTGGCTTCCTTTGTGCTAACCCCAGGTGCTTTTGTTTTGCTTGTAACCTTTAAGCTGGACCTCAAGAAAGCTATTTTTGATGCTTAATCCTTGTATTTTTTTTGTTTTTTTTTAAATCTAGCAAAAGTCTAAGTCCCAGATGTATTTTCTTCTTTTTTTATTAATAAAATTTACCCTTTTTAAGAACAGAATTGGATTTTTGTGTCCTAAGAGGTTTGTGCACATGTTATTTAATTAGTTGGTGGCAACAGCTGATTTCCTTTGTTTTTCTTCTCAGCTCTTTCTGGGGTGGGGTGGGGTGAAAGGGCTTGAGGGTACCCCACAGGAAGGAATTCCCCTTGGAAGTTTAATACAAGCCTGGAGTGGCTACTATTAATTTTTAGAATCCTTGTGGGCCCCCACCTTCTGCACTGGAAGTGCCAGAGTGGGGAATTAACTTTGACAGAAGCCTAGTTTTGTTTAGCTGAATACATCTTACTGTAAAAGTGTGCAGTATCAGAATATGTTAATATTTTAGGTAAATAAACTTGTACCTGCATAAAGAAGTTTTCGAATGCAATGGATCTGCTGTGAAACACAAGCTACATATAGAGGTGTTCCCAGATGAGGAATGTCTTGGTCAACATCTATGCCCCAGGAGATCAGCACTTCCAGACATTCACTGTGACCTGCCAACAGAGTATGACATAGTTTGCTTGCCTCTTCAGTTAGATGTTCCATTTACGAAACCTGATACATTTCTTAACACTATATAATGTAATTTGTCAACTATTCCATGTATGCTCAGAAGCTAGTTTTTTACCTCTACTGGCTGCTTCGTGAGTCGGTGAAGGGAGACATGACTCCCATTGAGCTTTGGCACCATACTCCAACAAAAGCTCTGCACAAGATGCACTGCCTCTTGAACATGCATTAAATAATGGGGTCACTCCATCAATTGTTGTAGCATTTACCTAGAATAGAAAAGATATGTCTAAGATGGGAATGAAGTAAGGGATGCATTCTTAACTGATAGTGTTTTAAAATAAGATATAGCTGAAATATGCTTGATACATCAACAAATACACTATTTACCATAACATTGCTTTATTGCACTCAACTTCTGTACAGTTCTTATCTTCCCACCCCACCCCTCGTTATTTGCATAATGGTATGCTAATTTAAATATGCTAAACTATATCCAAGAAAACATAACTGACCATAATACTAAATCTAAATAAGTGGCCTGACTTTCAAAAATGCTGAGTACTCAGCTATTCTCATTGACTTCAAAGTTCTAAAGTTTTCTTTTCATTATGGAAAATTCCATTAGCACTCCCCAATCTCTATCATCAGATGATTCTTTCTTGGTGCTCCACAAGCTCTAAAATTAGCCTATAACCATGAAGAGCTAGTGTTCTACTCCACCCCCAAAAAACTCAATTTAAAATAATTAAATTGATAAGTATTTTTTAAAATGTTCCTCCTGTGCTAGTCCCCATTTTAAGGAGAGGGAATTTCTCTGGAAGCTTTACTACTGTATAGTTGTGTGTGTAGAGATAGCATGGTATGGTTGAGAAATGCAGAAGCATACCTAAATACTGTAATTGCATACGCTTTTATTTGTAAATCTTGTGCTCCCTTTTCCCTGTTCCCCTCACTGTTTGTTGCTCTCCCTTGTTGTGTCTTGACTCATATTTAGACTATAAGCTCTCTGGCACTGGAAACATGTCTTTTTCTCAGTTTTTGGGGAAACATGTATGGATTCTGTAGAAACAATAAATGTTTATGTTCTGTAGAAATAATAAATATACATTCAATTTACAATGCTTACATTGGCCAGAGTGCCTCAATTTTATGTCCAATTTCCCTCTTGCTTTCTCCCCTGGTTTTCTCATCTATTTTCTGTTCTCTGTTCTGCCCATCCTCTGTGTGATCTTTTCTCTCTCCCCTCTACTTCTGCTGTCTTCTCTCTCCTCCATTATGCAACAATCCCATCAGTCTCCTTTGCTGTCAATCAGCAAAGACTTTTAAAAAAATCAACTATTACTTAAAAAAACCACAAAAGGCAAACATACTGTTGTTAACAAACCGACCTACTATGGAGCAGGAGAATGTGGAGAGCTTTGGATGAAAAATCAAGGAATAGATCCCTTTCAATTAGATAAGGTCAGTGCATATGAAAAAGATACTTACATTTGCCCCTGCTTCAAGAAGGATTCTTGCACACCCTACATGATCTCCCAGGCAGGCTTCATGTAGTGGAGTGACTTGGTCAATTGTCAGAGTATCCACATTGTAACCCTAAACAGGATAGGAACCACTCATAAAGGTAAGACAAAAGCTATTCAAAGCTGTTAAGTCTTCAACATTGTTAGTTGTAAGCACCACAGTTTATTAGAGCTGGGTGAATAATGGATTTTTCAGTTCGCTGGCAATTTAAAAAAAAATGTTTAGCTTCAGGTTGAACCAAAAATGACACTTCTTAAATTTTTCAGTGAATCAAAAAGTAATTTAGTTTTGACTCAAAAATGCTTTATTTCAGTAATGTTGAAACAAAATGTTTTGTTTTGTTTCACCCTGAAAATTTTTGTTTCAAATTTTCAGGCATTTTGATAAAAGCAAAAGAAAGGAGAACTAGATTTACAAAACGGGGAGAGGAGGAGATGCTGCTGCTTTCAGTATCCCTTCTCTTATAAGCTTTTATTCCAGTGGTTAGGGCAGTCATCTAGGATATAGATGAGCCAGGTTCAATTCCTTTCTCTGCCTGATGTGGAGAAGGGATTTGAATTTAGGTTTCCCTCATAGAAGGAGAAAGTCCTAGCCACTGGGCTATGGGATATTCAGCTATGGTGGGGGCTTTCCTAATCTTGAAGCTGTTTCACTTTTTATAAATAATTAAATAGTCATCTAAGCAGGGACTTGAACTTGGTTCTCCCACCTACCAGGCAATAGTTGTTTTTACTATTTCTCTGGCCCAATGACTATGCATTGCATTTCATAGTCACTCATAATGACAGTGGATAGTCATAGGGCCAGAAAGATAGTGAGAATGACTCAATAGCCTGGTAGTTAGGTGACTCATCTCCCAGGTGAATGCCAAAACCACTAGACTAAAGTCTATAAGGGAGGCAGAACTACCACCACCATCTCCTCCTGCTGCTGTTTCTGCTGCCACCATTGTTTTATGACTCTACTCCTCCTTTCCTTTGCTTTAGCCAAAATGCCTGAAAATAGAAACAAATTTTGTGTCAAAATGAAACATTTTGATCTTACTAAAATGTTTTGACACTTTCCGTTTGGTCTAAACCAGATGTGGGCAAACTATGGCCGGCCCACGGTACTGTCCTGCCCGGCCCCTGAGTTCCCAGCCGGGGAGCCTAGTCCCTGGCCCCTCCACTGCTGTCCCCCCTGCAGCCATGCAGGCCACACTCTGGCCCGCCGCTCCCACTGGGCAGCGTGGGGAGCGCAGCTGGCTCTGGTTGGGTGTCACGGCTGCGAGTTCCTGCTGCTGGCGGGGAGCGGGAGGGTTGGTAAGGGAGCGGAGGCGGTTGGATGGGGCGGAGGTTCTGAGGGGGGGTCAGGGGATGGGGAACGGGGAGGGTTGGGAGTGGGAGTCCCGGGGGGCCTGTCAGGAGGCGGGGGTGTGGATAGGGGTTGGAAGGGCAGTCAGGGGACAGGGAGCAGGGGGGGGTTGGAGTAAGGGGGTGGGATCCCGGGATGCAGTTAGGGGCAGGGGGTCCCAGGAGGGGGTGGTCAGGGGACGAGAAGCGAGTGGGTGGTTGGATAGGGGGTAGGAGTCCTGGGTGGGGGCTGTCTGGGGGCGGGGGTGTGGATAGGGGTCAGGGCAGTCAGGGGACAGAGAACAGGGGGGTTGGATAGGTGGCGGGAGTCCCAGGAGGGGGCAGTCAGAGGACAAAGAGCGGGGGAGGAGTTGGATAGGTTGGGGATTCTGAGGGGGGCAGTCAGGGCGCAGGAAGTGGGAGGGGGCGGATAGGGGGCAGGGACCAGGGTGTTTGAGGAGGCACAGCCTTCCCTACCCGGCCCTCCATACAGTTGAGCAACCCCGATGTGGCCCTCGGGCCAAAAAGTTTGCCCACCTATGGTCTAAACTATTTGGTGAACTAGACATGAATGTGTAAATAGTTTTGGTTGACCCAAACTGCATTTTTTGATGAATAAACTATTCATCTGAAAAGTTTCACCCAGCTCTATTTACAATATTCTATACATAATAAAATATAACCTTATGTGAGCACAAAAATGAATGCATGCAGAATCTTTCATTATTTGATTTAGAAAACAGCAAGAAAAATAGCTTCTAAACATTCACATAGTTGTCTACACTTCACATTTGAAATACTTAGACTTCCTAGAGCCACAAATTCAAATTCCAAGAGAGTAAACTCAGTCCTTCTTCCTTATGAGATTGATAAAATGACTGAGCTCCATGCAGTTTTCTGTGGATAGGTTTTTTTAGATTCTTGAAATCTGATATCTTTTTCAGAGTCATACAGTTGAAGGCCAGAAGGGACCACCATTTAGTCTGACTTCCTGTATATCAAAGCCCATCAACACTACCCAGCACCCACACACTAAACCCATCAACCAAAATTAGACCAAAATATTACAGGAGACTAGACTATTATGTGCCACAGGGAGAGAATAACAGGGACTGAGATGCACCAATGCCTGATGACCTTGCAAAGGCAGGAAAAAAGAGGATGTTTGGTGCCACCTCAGAGAACCGGCCCACTCCATCCAGTGTCCCATTTCCAGCGATAGTTATCTCTGACGGTTCAGAGGAAGGAAACAAAAAACAAAACAAAACAAATCACCAAAAATAAATTGGCGGCAGGGAGGCTGGAGGTGGCTGGCTGAAGACCTGAAGCATGAGCTTTTAGGAACATAAGACATAAACCAGAAATGACCCCCAGGGCTGCTGTGTCCTGCCCCCTACCATCACAAGCAACCCCATCATACAACTGCACTCAAATTTGTCCAGCTCTCTCTTAAAACTAATTAAATTGTTTGCTGCCACAACTCCTATTGGGAAGCCATTCCAGAATCTCACTCCATTAATGGTTAGAAGCCGTCTTCTAATTTCCAGCCTAAATTTGTTTATGGCCAGATTATATCCATTTGTTCTTGTGCCAACAGTGTCCTTTAGCTTAAATTATTCACTCGCCTGATGCATTTATAGAAAGCAATTATATTGTCTCTTTAGCCTTCTTTTTGCTAGGCTAAACAAACCAAGCTCTTCCAGTCTCCTGTCATAAGATAGGCCCTCTATTCCTTTGATCATCCTAGTATCTCTTCTCTGCACCTGTTACAGTGTGAATTTATCTTTCTTGAACATGGGTGACCAGAATTGTACACAGTATTTCAAATGAGATCTTACAGTGGCTTGTACAATGGCATTAAAACTTCTCTGTTTCTACTAGAAATGCCTCATCTGATACATCCAAGGATTGTGTTTGTCTTTTTCATAGCTGCATCGCATTGGTGGCTCATAGTCATCCTTTGATTGACTCCCATACCCAGGTGTCTCTCCTGCATTCCTTCCAAATGATGAGCCCCCCCAATTAGCAGCAGAAATTCTTATGATTAGATCATAGGTGCATGATCTTGCACTTTGTACTATTGAATTTCATCCCATTTCTGTTACTCCAGTCTTCAAAGTCATCTGGATCTTCCTGTATAATATTCCGATCCATCCTTGTGTTGACAATGCTACACTGAAGCCAGCTTTGCATCATCAGCAAATTACTACATTGGCTTACACAATATACTTTTTGTAGTTTACCAATGTTCCAGAAAGGGCTCTTATTTGATCCCATATTTTATAGTACTTAACTGCCAAATAGCAGGTTTGCTGTTACACTAACAATAAAACTCCTTCTTTTACTTTATCCCTTTGCTGTTACAAAATAATATTCAGTGTGTCTTTTATTATTATTATTATTATTGCTGCTGTTCACTGGGCTATTTTCAATGAATTTTTCTGAAGAACTCACAAGTCCTTCTCCTGATCAGTAGACAGGATGATAGCTTTGTTTAGCATGTACTAATCCTTTCTCCCACAGTAAGGGCTAGATATTCAGCTGGTGTAAATTGGCATAGCTATATTGAAGTCAATGGATCAACGTCAGTTTATATCAGCTGAGAAGGGACGTCAGTGCAACTATGCTGATTTACACGAGCTGAGGATAAGGGATATGTGCCTGTAGGCACAGCAGAGAGTAAGGGCTGGTGTATAAATTGTACCAACCAAGGAGTAATCCCAGGATGCACTGTACCTCTAAGGCACTATTCTTCCTTAATTCTCCAAAACAAGTGCTTTACTGCTCTTTTTTACAAAAACAAATAAATAGCGTCATTCTAGCCCTTAGAAGCAACCCTAAAGGAACAACAACATTTACAAGGAAACAGTTTTCATAGGTTTAATCTACCAAAGCTTCATCAACAAATATATTTTAGAAAATGCCTTTAAAACCAGTGGGAAAATATCTTGAAATGTCCTTAAATTTTATAGTATCAAAAGCTCCCAAATGAAAATACATCTGCATTATTCACATGGAGAGCATAACAGAATAATCATGCTATATTTACCTTTTTCTGGGTTGTCATTAAATAAGATAAAAAAGGAAAATGTTTTAAGAACCACATGGGCATTACCTGTGACAATAAAGTTTTTAGAGAAAGGAGACGTCCTTGACTGGCTGCCTCATGCAGTGGTGAACGATCTGCCCAAGAACCTACAGAATAATATTTATTGAAAAAATTACAGTAATTAGAGTGATTTTAGAATGCACAGAATAAAACAGAAGTGGTTATGCTAAAAATAAAGTCAAAGGTTCTATTAAATGAATTATTCTCATTTTGGACTAAGTGTCTTAAATACATGTATTCTTTCCTGGACACTAAAAAGAGCAGACAGGCTACACAGCTAATTTTAAACATCTACACTGAGTAATTCTGCAATATGAAGGTGAAAAAGTTTCTACGTGGTATTTTTTATTAATGTATTTTAACAACTTCAGCAATATTCATGGTATTGGTCTACCAGAGCCTTGTATATTTTCTACAAAGTGTTGTATAGGTATATCAAAATCTACCAGCTTCAACAGGAAGCACAGACATATTGGATTGAATATTTGAAGCAAAAATGAGGACCACACACACTTTCAGAAACATTCCTGAAAAAAAGGAAAAGCTGTTCTAAAAAAAAAAATTAACATTAAAATGTCTATGGTTGATAAGACCAATCTGAAGCCTCCAACCCCCACTTCCCCCATGAAATCTATATGTAAGTCCCTGAGAAGAGAGTTCCCATGGTAGAAATAGGTTTTTAGGGCTAAATTCTTCCCCATGGACCAAATCCAAGTAGTTGTGCTTCTTGATGCAAGGATATTTTACAGGACTTGGAAAGGAAATCCTAGCTTCTGCTCCAGGCCACACAACCACTCTGCTTCTTCTACTGAAGCCCAGAGTGTGCCCATGCTGTTGTGACCCTGTTCTACAGGGTTCAGCTCTACTGCGTGGGCTTTTGCAGGGAATCCCATACAGGTGGACTCTCCAGTATACAAGCGATGAGAATCCCTGGCACAGGCTCTCAAAACTATTTGTTTTCCTCATCCAGCACAAGTAAACCAGTTCCACTATATCTTAGGCCCTTTGTGGCTGAAGAGAAAGAGGTGGGATTTGCCTCTTGATTTCTAAATGGGAAGGAGTAATTGAGAACCCACTTTACCTTTTTTATGTATAACTTGGAGATGGTGCAAGTTTGAGGGTTCTGTGAAAATGATGCTCATATTCTTATTGAAGAAAGGCAGACCACTGACTTAGGGGCAAATCCAGCTGTCACTTCCACAGCCACAGAGGGCCCTGGCAGCAGAACTGGTTCAGTTCTGTTTCTTTGTGTAGGGAGTCAAGATTTGAGGGGCTCTGTAGAAATCCTCCTACACTTTTTTGTGGATCCTCTGCTGATTACTTCTATGAGAGAGCCTCAAGTTAGGAGAGCTGCAGAATGGTCATGTACCAACTGGCCTGCAGCAACATTGCAAACACTTACAACATAGGGAGAGGATTCTTTTCTGCCTAATTGTCTGGGGTAGGTGCAGGATTTAGGATTTGGTCATTATTCTGCAACATCTTGCAGGAAATTGAAGTTTGATTCTCAGTCCCATTTTCTTACTGCTTAGGCTCATTGCAGGAATACCCCAAAAGCAGTATGCTCAGCACATGGGGTCAGAGAGACCACCATGTCATTGTCATTTAATAACAATCCCTTGATTGATGATTTTATTGAGTAGATGCTGTGACTACTCAGAGAGTATTGCAATCAGTGTGAATTGCAATGGAACTTCAGTTCAACCCGCTGAACTATTCTGTGGATTTGTTTGGTTATTGTTGTTATACAGTGTTGAAACCACAGAAAGTTTACAGCCCGTAGAAAATAGAGTTCCCTCTCCTCCATCACACTTTTTCCTCTTTCAATTCTGCCTCTGATCATCTTGTTTCTGAGTGATAAACTTGTTATTGGAATTAATTGTATGAGAAAGTAGAACACAAAGTTCTAGACAAAAGGTTTTGTAATATTACTGTACTGCATCAGATATATTCCAGACATACTTTTCATCAAGCTGAATAGTTAATGTTGTCTGTCTTAAAATGGGAAGCTTCTACAAAATACCTGCCCATTTTTACTTTTTATGTAACTACTTAACAGTTGCAAAGGAGTATGGTGCCTTACCAGTCTGTTAGGATTCTTTGAATGTGTCAATAACGTAGTGAATAAAAGTAAATCAGTTGACATAATTTATTTAGGCTTTCAAATGACCTTTGACAAGGTCCATCACAGGAGGCTATTAAGAAACATTGTAGTCATGGGTAAGAGGAAATGCATTACCGTGGATCAAGAACTGGCTAAGAGAGAAAAAAAGTAGAAATAAATTGTCAAATCATGGCAAAAGGTTACTGCAAGATTCTGTTCTAGGATTGGAGTTTAATATATACATTAATGATCTGGAAAAAGGCATGAGCAGAGATCTGGAAAAATGTGCATATAACAAAATTACTTTGGGCTTGTCTACACTTAAAACGCTACAGCAGCACAGCTGCGCCGCTGTACCGCTTCAGTGTAGACACGACCTATTCCCAACACTAGGGATTCTTCTGTCGGCATAGGTAATCCACCCCTCTGAGAGGCAATAGCTAGGTCAACAAACGAATTCTTCTGTTGACCGAGCACTGTTTACACAGGGACTTAACTACACTGCTCAGACGTGTGGATTTTTCAGACTTCTGATGGATGTAGTTAAACTGAACTAATTTTCTAGTGTAGATCAAGCTTTAGCAAAGTCAAGTCCAGAAAGGACTTTGAGAAATTTCAGAGGGCTCTACCCAAGCTTAGTGAATTGGCAACATGATGACATATGAAACTGAATGTTGATAATATGCAAAGTAATACACATTAGAGGAAAAATACAAGCTGCTGATCCATCTTACTGGGTTCTAAGTTAACTGTATCAACTCAGGAAAACACTTGGGTATCAGTGTGGACTGCTCAATTAAGATCTTGGCTTTGTCTACACTAGCACTTTTGTTGGCAAAACTTTGGTTGGTCAAGGATGTGAAAAACACCCCCCCCGAACCAACATAAGTTTGGACAGCGCTTTGTCAGTGGAAGATGCTCTCCCACCGACATAGCTACTGCCGCTTTTTGGGAGTGGTTTAATTATGCCGATGGGAGAGCGCTCTCCCACTGGCATAGAGTGGCTATGAGACCTTACAGTGGCACAACTGCAGCGGTACAGCTGTGCTGCTGTAAGGTCCATAGTATAGACATATGTGCAGTTGTAGTGTAGGGGGGGGAAGCCAACAAAGTATGAGGATACATAAGGAATGGAATAATATGAAAAATATAATGCTATTATATAAATCAATGGTGTGCAATACTTATCACCCCATCTCAAAAGGATATTGCAGCTTAGAGGGAGTTTAGTGATGTGTGATGAGAATAATTACAGCCCTGGAAAAACTTATATGAAGAGAGATTGAGATTGCTTACTTTAGAAAGAAGATGAATAAGAGGGGACATGACAGAAGCATATGAAATGAGTGGTATAGAGAAGTCAGATCCAGAGTTTCTGTTTTCCTCTCATAACATGAGAGAAGGGGACATTCAATGAAACTGAAGGGTGGATAATTCAAAACTGATAAAAGGAAATATTTTTTCATCCAACACATGATTAGTCTGTGGAACCCTCTGCCAAATGATAGCACTGAGACCAAGAACTCAGCAAGATTCAAAAAGAAATTGGATTTTTAGATAGTTGGCAAGAATATTGAGTTATATTAATAAATACTAAAAAACAAAGTTTTACAAGTGATATAAAGCCTCATGCTTCAGGTCTTACATTTGTCTTGAACTCATAGGAATTAGGAGGCAATTCCCCTATCCAACATTAACCTACTTTGGGGCTTTTTGCACCTTCTTTTGGAGTATGTGGTGCTAGCCACTGCCTGAGACAGGATGTTGGATCAGATGGACCACAGGTCTGAGCCACTGTGGCCGTTCTGATTTTCCTATTAAGACAG